ATCTGTTTCCAGCTTCAGAAAACGTGTAAATAACGGCACCACTTATGAACGTGGGGAAAAGGAGAAAAGGCAGCCGTGGGGCTAAGGCCAGTGAAGTGTGTCAGGCAGGAACACTCACTCAGTGTGCAGACATACTGAGTCTGAGGTGGCTACAGGACACCCAGACAGAGATGATGACTTGGATACGCAGACCTGTAGACAGAAAAGTCCACGACTGCAGATGAGATTTGGGGTTATAAGCAGAGATGGAAACTAGACTCACAGCAGATGAGATCATTCATCCAAGTGTTACAGTGAGGAGAGAGAAACAGACTCCTGAAGACATAAAGGCAAAGTAAGGAGGAGACACCCTGAAAATAGGGGAACGGCCAAAGAGGAAAATCGGAAAAATTACGGGGTTAGGAAAAAAGGCATGGTCGGCTGGGCGTGGTGGTTCACACCTGTAATCCTAGCACTTTGAGAGGCTGAGGTGGGCCAATCACTCGAGGTAGGAGTTCGAGACCAGCCTGGCCAACATGGTGAAACCCTGTTTCTACTAAAATTACAAAAACTAGCTGGGCGTGGTGGCGTGTGCCTGTAACCTCAGCTACTTGGGAGGCTGAGGCAGGAGAATAATGTCAAAAGTCACAGAGAAGGAAAGCAGTGGAAAGTCTCTCGCTGCATTTGACAACTGGAGCTATAGTACTTTCAGAGTAAGTTTCAGTGGGGACGCTGGGGAAGCAGCACAGGCTGAAGCATGCATGGTGGGGAGGGTGGAGAGACAAATGGCACAGTGATTCTTTTAAGCCTGTGTGTGCCTGTGCACAGGTAAGAAATGTCCATCCATGCAGGTAAGAAAGGACGTGGGGGCTGGGGTGGGATATAAGGGTTGAGACAAAAGAGAGCGAACCACATTTATACAAAAGGGAAGAAGTTATGAGACAGAAAGAGGCTGAAAACACACAAAACGCAGTGATGAGGAGGAGCAGTGCCCATGAGGAGGATGGGAACGAAGGATTCGGCTAGGACAGAGGGAGGGGAGGCTTCTCTCCTGGGACTTTAGGGAAGGACAGGGGCAAAAGAAAGTGAGTTTCCAGGTGCTAGAACATGAAGCTGAGGTGGTGTTTCCTGATTTTTACAACTTTCATCTGTAGAACTGACAGCAGGACGATATTCTGAGTGTGGTGAGGGGCTCTGAGAGATGATTCACTCGGCGCAGAGCTGGAGCAGAGTGGCAGTGGAGCTGAAGAGGGCATGAGGACAGCAAGGCAACCCCGAGCCCACCTGACACCGGAGTCCACCCAAGGCACACGCTCATTTGCCCAAAGGGCAGAGAGGACGAACGACTGACTTTCCCCAAGCTGGAGCTTCACAAAACGGTGAAATTTAAAAATCCACAGAGTTATTTTTTAAATATAAAAACAGCAAGAAAGTTATTAATAGTTAGGTTAGAGGACGACGTAGTATGCTACACTACATTTTTTAATCGAAATTTCAATTCAGTACACTTCCAACTTCACAACACATGAAAAAGTCAACTAAGGATCCTGCTGAAGTCAAAGAGCAGGTGCAGTGGGAGTAAGCAAGTGAAAGCTGGAATGACAGAAAGTAGCCTCAAGGCAGCAGAGTTTCAGATTTCAGAGGGGAACATGACTAAAGGTCAGTGTCACTGGAGCTGAACAGGCCTAGGAACTCCAGCGCAATGAGCCGTAGTTCTTTCCCAGACACATGAAGTCACCCAGACTGAGGAAGGTGGGAAGGAGAGGGTAAGGAGAAAGACAGTGAACGACTAAAGTCAGGAGAGGAGAGGCGCCAGGGTGGTGTGGGGATGTGCTGGCCCCACAAGCCTTGGAAGAGATCATTTCCAATTGCAGGCTGAAGCGTATCGGCTCAGACTAGAAAATCCTGTGGCTACATGAGCAGCAAGAATGAGCAGTCTCCATGTGAGAGCTCAAGAGAACATGGCTTACTAGGGAGGCGTGTGTGGGGAGGGAGGGGGCAAAGAAGAAGAAGATTAGGGAGAACATGCACTGGGGGCTGTTTCCAGCAGAGCACAGCTCCAGTGGACAACCACTGTGTGGCCCACAGGAGGGAAGCTCGGTTCTCTTAAGGCTAAGTGCTTTTCAATGAGAAGGCATACAGGAAGAGCCTGGTAGCAACGATGATGGAGGGAGGCCTGACACGCACATTTTAAACAGTCTCCCTGCAGCCTTCAACTGCAGGTATACAACGTTAAGTCTAAAAGCTAAGGAGACAAATCATAAGAGTTTTATTGATGTATATACTTGAGGATAACTTAAGTTACAAATGTTTTTACTTTAAAATAAAATGTTGGCCGGGCGCGGTGGCTCAAGCCTGTAATCCCAGCACTTTGCGAGGTCGAAACGTGCGGATCACGAGGTCAGGAGATCGAGACCATCCTGGCTAACCTGGTGAAACCCCGTCTCTACTAAAAAATACAAAAAACTAGCCGGGCGAGGTGGTGGGCGCCTGTAGTCCCAGTTACTCGGGAGGCTGAGGCAGGAGAATGGCGTAAACCTGGCAGGCGGAGTTTGCAGTGAGCTGAGATCCGGCCATTGCACTCCAGCCTGGGCGACAGAGCGAGACTGTCTCAAAAAAAAAAAAAAAAAAAAAGTCTCCATTCCAGTTAAAAAACAAATTATCAGCAGGGCGTGGTGGCTCATGATTGTAATCCCAGCACTTTGGGAGACCGAAGCAGGTGGATTACTTGAGGTCAGGAGTTCAAGACCAGCCTGGCCAACATGGTGAAACCTCATCTCTACTAAAAATACAAAAATAAGCCGGGCGTGGTGGCGCACACCTGTAATCCCAGCTACTCGGGAGGCTGAGGCAGGAGAATCGCTTGAATCCAGGAGGCAGGGGTTTGCAGTGAGCCAAGATCACGCCACTGCACTCCAGCCTGGGTAACAGAGTGAGACGCCCTCTCAAACAAACAAACAGACAAAAATCCCATTTAGATCAATTTGATAAAACTAATTACAGGACTCAAATGTAGTGTAGTACATCCAATAACTGCAATTACAACAAATATATATAAATTAAAGGCAATACCAGCTTGGGGAAGGAGGATGCAAGCAAGGAGACGGTGGCCCCAGAAAGGCAGTGCAAGTGACCTTGTGACGGGAATGCTCCACTGGTCTGCATCCAGACTGTGGTGGTGATCCCAGGAATCTACACGTGATAAAACTGCACGGAACTTACACACACACAAATGAGTGCATGTAAAACTGGTGAAACCTGGACAGACTGTATTGTTTCAGGTTTCCAGATGTAATATTGGACTGTAGCTATGCAAGATGGTACCACTGGGGGAAACTAGGTAAGGGGTATACTCGATCTTTCTGTATTGTTTCTTACAACTGCATCTAATCTACAATTTTCAAAATAAAAAGTTTTTTAAAAAATTAAAAGCATCAAAGCAAGGTGTAAAACTGGAAAATACTGTCTTCAAAACTCATGGTAACATTAGAGAATTATTCTCTCTAGCTCAGTGATTCTCAGAGATTTGGAGGCAGGGGAAGGGCACCTAAGTATTAGAATTACTGCCCACACCCGCTATTCCCTGAACACACACCCACACCAGAACTGCCACCGCCATGAGCCACGTTTCAGAGGAAGTGGGTCATACCTTCAAGTGTGCTGCAACTAAAGAAAATGGAAAACCACTCTTCTAGCTACTTATCTTTCAGAACACTTCTAACTGGTAGTAAAGAAAGAAGCATGTAAGAGAAACATAGTATTTAATAGTAATTTATAACAAACATGAACTATTTTGAGAGACTGCTTCTCATTTGATTTGCCCAAAATCAGCCAATACACCCTTCTTGGAAATGTACTTGGTCAACATAAGAAAAACATTCTATTCATGTAAGAAAAAAAATAAGGACTTTTTTTTTCCAGTAATTGATGGATTTTTCAGTGGTACATCCAGACCCTAAATATCTTACCTATAACCAATGACTACAAAGCATATAAAAGTATACAGTCTGTCCTTGAACAGAGTGAAATCGTTCAACTTACATAGGAGATCTTAACAGGCAGCACCATACCCTAGTCAACAGGGGAACAACCAGAAACAAGCAAAAACCAGAACATGATCAATCTGATACTGTTTTTCAAGTCCCTACTAACAAGGAGCCCTAAAGAGAAAACCTACATTTAGCCCACTAAAATCAAACCTAGGGAAACATGCTGAAGCCGGAAGGAGGCCCAATTTAGTATCTGAATAAGCTGCATGAATCAGAACAAAAAATAAAATCACTGCATGACGAATACACCAAAACTCTAGTATTATCATTGTTCACACAATTGTGTGTGTATGTGTATACATCATAATCTAAATGTCCAACAGGGGAACTTATGCAAGAGTGGTATATCCAAAGCCACTGTCAAAGCAATTAAAAATTGTGTTTATAGTAAAAAAAAGTTTACAATGTACTGCTAAGAAGAGCTACAAATAAGTATGTGCAAGATTCTAATTTTCCATTTAAAATGTTTATTTTTAAAAACTCCAAAGAATATAAACCTGTTATTATTTATTTTTAAATAAGTTTGATCCTTATACTTTTCTCTGTTTTCTAAGTTTTCTACAGTGAGTACATACTACTCTTATAACTTGGGCAAGGAAAGAAACCAAACTACACCAATAACTATTTTAAGTAAAACTTACAAAGGCCATGGAATAATATGAAAAGGAAATATATATGGATATTATGTAGACATCTATAATTACAATTATTTTAAAGAAAGAAAAATTGTGTATAAGAAAAACAGGTTGGTGGGAAATACACCAAAATAATGGTGCCTATGTTTGAAGGACGAAATAATTATGGGAAAATATTCTACGCCTTTAAATTCTTCTTTAAAGAATGTGTCTTATGTAAACAGGAAAAAAAAATACTGTATTTATCAACACTGACCCCAAGCCCTCCTCTTCACTACATCCTGCGTCCTAAAACAAACCAAAAAATACACATGCACACAAACCCACAAGTACTTACATGGGCTTACATCTCTGTATCTGTTTCGATTTCTGTTTTCTGGAAACTTGGCCACTCTATGAGGATAGTCATGGGACTCATTTCGAATTTCCTTAAAATAACAAAAATATATTTTAATATCCCTCTTAAATTTTCCACAGCAAAACATCACCTTCCCAGCCAGTGTAAAATAACATTAAGCACTTATGATATGCCAAGTACTATGCAAAGCACGTTGTCTACATCACCTCAGTTAATCCTCACAATACTAATGGAAACGATTTCTTTCCCATTTTATCTGAGGGATGAAAGGTTTTCAAAGGTTAAAAATCCACCAAAGGTCCCATAGCTAGTAAGTG